CAACAAGCCTTTTCGTTTACCTTTTCCATTATAAGATAATTTTAAAACTCTTGTTCTCTTTTCTTCCAATCTTTACTTAACTTTTCTATTCCCCTAACTATTAGCCAATTTTTATATATTTGAAGTTCCCCACTCGTTAATTTATAAATCTTCCTATTTTTTTCCCGTGGTAAGCCAATATTAAATGCTTCTATTTTCATTTCCTCTAAGACAGAATAAACACAACCACCACAATAAAAGAAAGGATTGGGATAAACCCCTTCCTTATTTTTTTCAGAAACTATTAAGTGAATAGCTTGGTAATTAGTTATTTGGGGATCTAACTCATAACAACCTTGACAAGGCAGATCCAGTCCATCGTAACCAATGGTTAATTTTGCTTCTTTTGTCATATTTCTTTACTTGGTCTTAATTTCTTTTCCTCTTCAATTGTTTTTCAAAGGTAATCCCATTCCATACTTCTTCCCATTGAACCGGATATTCCTATTCCTCCATATCCTAAAATAGTTTCAGAGGAAAAGTTATTTAATTCTATTCCTATTTCCTTATACTTAACAGCAGCACAAGTCAGGCAATAGAACTTAGGAGTCAACTCTTCTCTATAACCATTGTTTTTATAATTAGGTATGGTTAAGAAAATAGTTTGGGGTTTATTATCATATCGCTTATTTGCTATCTCTCTTCAATATATTTCCTTACAACCATCACAGGCTTCTATCTTACTACCATGATATCCTATTATTCATTCTATTTTTTTTAGTGCCATATATTTATACCCCTATTTTATAGTCCATTTATTCGGTCATAAAGCCTCTGTCTATCAGCCTGGGACAGGCGAATAAACTCTCCCCTAGTTAATATTACAACTGAAACAATGTATCTTTTTTTCAGATGGAGAACATTCTTGACAAGGAGGAAGTTGGGTTATTCTCATATGAACTAATTATTTTTGGGAGGAATTTCTATTTGGGGAGTTTGTTCTGGTTCTTCTTGAATATTAAGATTATCCAGAGTTAGTTCTAAATCCTTAGAAGCTTGTAATAATTGAGTGATTTGTTTGGTATTTATGGGTTTACTATGCCAAGTTTCCTGGGAGTGGTAAGTAGGATATTTGATTTCATTTGGTAAAGATTGATTATATTCCTTGGCTTCTTGATATTGGTGGCAGAAT